TGGTTACATGTGTATATCTTGGTAACCGCTGCACCAATTTCTTCCAACCTTGGCACAGTTGTTGGCCTTGGTACAGCATACTAAATGGCCGAAAATTTAAAAAGCGGACAATAACCACGCCCACATCCCATATAACTACGGTGACCATCCGTTCTGTTTTTAGCAGGACCGTACTGTTTTTCAAAGGTCGGTCCTGCGTAGTTTTTCAAACCTGAAAAACCTGAAAATGTACTGATTTTTTCCAAGTCCTGCATTTGTCCCGCATTTTATTCGTTATTTTAAAATTATCGGACAATGGATGGATTTTTTCAAAAAAGTGTTTTTTGGTACTTTTCGTAGCTTTTCTTCAATATCTCATGAAAAAATCTCCAAATTAACCTAAGCGACTTACAGCTCGAAGAGTATTGATGTGCCTCTTACCAAAATATATAACTTGTGGCGACTTCAATGAAAATTATTAGTGCTACAGGCGAAAAAAGTGAGATTTTCAATCAAATACGCAGTTTCATTTGATTATTTTTTTCATTATTTAAAAAATTCGATAAAGAAGATATATCATAACAGTAAACTTTGAGCCAAAGATAATTAGCCAAAGATGATTAGAAATGTAGATGCTATGGAGCGCAATCTGCACAAATTATATATTTTTGTAAAGGGCACTTGGTAACTCGTCGTTTACGTCGATTCATGACGTAGATTTTTGACAAATAACTGCGAAAAGTACCAAAAAACAAAAAAAAAGAGGAAGGGTATGGTTTTCGTTTTGAACGACTCAAAATTTGCCTATAAAATAATCTTTTAAAGATTTTCACTTTTCGTGTAAGCTATTGTAATTATAATATGTTTTACTATACTTTTATAAATATTCATGTAAAAAAAGATTAATATCAATGAAGAAAACGTGATTCATTTTTAAAGTTTAAAATGTATTAAGAATTTAGAATCATAAATACTCTTTTGATATTTTTATACTACGTAAATATATGTAGGCATATTTTTGAAAAATTGTCCTTCATTTTGAATCCATATTTATGGTCACCGTAAATATAACGGTAATTTAGAGAAATAAATCTTCGATAAACCAGTAAATATTAAAGCTAATTTATTCAAAATTGATGCTTGCAACAATTCTTTACCAAGAAATACGTTTATGATAAAATTTTGAAAAATGGGCGTGGCACCGCCCACTTATGATTACATATATGTATCTCGGTAACCGTTCTACCAATTTGTACCAAACTCGGTATGGTTATTGTGCTTGCCACATAAAACCAAAACTTTGAAAATTATTGAAATCGGACTAAAATTACGGCCGCCTTTCATATAACGGTAAATTTCAGAAATGCTTAAAACTGCAATATTTCGAAATTTAATGACGCTAATTTACTCAAAATTGATACACCCCGGCTCGCCATGTAGCGGTAGCTTTCGGAAAGGTGAAAAACATATATTTAATACTGGCGCCGGGTATTTAATATTCGGCTCCGCCCGAACTTAGACTTTCTTACTTGTTTTTTTTTTGTTTTTTTAGTTTTTTGGTGCCGAGTAGTGGAAACAGGAGTTTGTTAAGCGTCGAGATCTAAAACTATTCAGCTACAGAATCAAATTCATCAGCTGATTGGATATGCTAAATATAGTATTTCAGTTATTGAGAGTGGAAATGATAGTTTTCTTTATAGTAAAAATCGAGTCCGATATATTAAACGTGCTGGAATGAGAGTTAAAATCTTGACATAAACAACGGAATGATTCGTTTAGTTCAAAATTAGTTTTCATGGCTTCGAAAACAGAGGTCGAAAGTGTCTTGACGCTCGAGAGGGCACATTAAAATTGACCTCAGCCAAAAGGGCCGGGCTATTAATCAAGCCTGTCATTAATTTTACGATAAATATTATACCTAGCATTTTTCTACGACTTGCGGGTGTAGGCAAATTTATGAGCTTTAGACGACTTGTGTAACGGGGGAGATTGTAATCTGAATCCCAGTTAAAGTCACGCAACGCAAAAAGCAAGGATTGTTTTTGAATTGATTCAATCCTCTCTGAATGAACTTTGTAGCGGGGATTCCAAACGATAGATCCGTATTTTAGTATAGGTCTAACTAAAGTGGTAAAAGGAGCTTTTGTAAAATAAGGATCTTTGAACTCTTTTGAGCATCGCTCTACAAATGCAAAAGCGCCTTTGGCTTTATTGACTGTAACATTAATATGATGGTTCAAATTGAGTTTGGAATCCATTGTGATACCAAGATCGACAAAATTGGATACCTGCTCCAGATTATAATTTGATATTGAATAAACAGCTGGTTGAACAGCCCTCCGAGAGAAACACATAACTTTACATTTTTAAAGGTTTAGTGGCATATAGTTTGCATTACACCAACTAACCACGTTGTTCAGATCCGCTTGTAACAAAGACCTTTCTTCGATAGAGGACAATGTTTTAAAAAGTTTCACATCATGGACATACATTAAAATTTTTGAATGTTTTATTATAGAAGAAATATCATTAATGAATATCAGGAACAGAATCGGACCAAGGTGGCTTCCCTGAGGAACTCCTGAAGAAACTTTAATGATGTTGGAAGAACAATTATTAACAATAACTCTTTGTGTTCTATCAGAGACGTAAGATGAGATCCATTGAAGAAGACTGGGCTGAAAGCCGATTAGGTCGAGTTTACGGATGAGTAACGAGTGACATACTTTGTCAAAAGCTTTACTGAAATCGGTGTATATTACGTCGGTATGAGCATTTTCTCTAAAACCGTTTGAGACATGAGTTGTAAACTCCAATAAATTACTGATAGTAGATTTTCCTTTAGAAAACCCGTGCTGAGATTGTGAAATTGAAGAAGATATAGAATATGTCAGCTGATTAACAATAATTGCTTCGAATAATTTGGGGATAGCGGAGAGCTTCGCTATGCCTCGATAGTTTTCTATAGAAGATCTGCTGCCGCTTTTGGGAAGTGGTATTATGAAAGACTCCTTCCAGGCTGACGGAAAAACGCCATGTTTAAGTGACCAATTGCATAGAGTTGTTAAAGGCTCGCAGATGTTCTCAGCGCAGTTTTTAAGAAAACAGATCGGAATATGATCAGGTCCAGGCCTAATGGCGCTTTTAAGGTTTTTAAATAGTGTAAAACCTCATCGGAAGATATTACTGGAATATAAGCAGAGTTGGTTGGACAAAGTTCGTACGGATAGTCTCCACTTATAGGGAAGTCTACAGAATAATTGGACCTAAATAACAGGGCAAACATGTTGGCAATGAGCTGGCTGTCGCTAGACACAGTGTTCCGATAATGCATAGCGGACGGAAAACCATGTACTTTATGCTTTGAATTTACGAACCCATAAAATGATTTAGGATTGTTAATTAAATTCTTCTTAATTTTACATAAATATGAATTATAAGTTTTCTTATTTAATAAAAAGTAGCTATACTGCAAAGCTGAGTACTTTACGTAATCACTGTGTAAGCCCGTTCTTTTATACAGTTTAAAAGAATGTGACTTTATATTTTTCAGTTTTTAAAGCTCTTTAGTGAACCATAATTGTATTGGTTCTTCATGAACAATATTACGTTTTGGCACATACTTTCGAAACAAATTGAAAACAGTATCATTAAAGTGTTCAACGCTACGCTCCACGTCATCTCTATATATTGGCCAAGATAACTTTGAAAGTTCTTCGTTAATTTACCGAAATTTGCTTTCGCAAAAACATATCTAGTACTTGAACTATACGACTTATTATTATGTATTTCATTTATGATTTCGTAGCTTAACTTAAGAGCGGGATGGTACGCATCCTCTGGCAAAACTAGGGGATCACACCGATTAATAGAGGCCTTCGGAACATAGTTGTCGAGACATGTGAAAGACCTAAACATTTTTTCGTAATGCTTAAATTTCTCAACAAGCACCGACAGATCCTTCCCAATCTCAGAAAAACCATTTGTGGACTGCCTAAAGAATTTAAATAAACCAACTTCGGTTGATCTACATTTTTGACAAGACCAACTAAGACCCTTTCCCTCGTTAATAGCGTCTAACACCCTGCCGCTCAAACCAGCACATTTTATATGGGCAATCCCATCGCAGAGCCAGCATGACACATAGGAGTCGCTTTTAACGTGGAAATTGGTGTAAATACACGACATGTTTAAAATTATATTTATTTTTAGGTTTTAGAAGAAAAAAGCAAAACAGTTTTGAAAACTACGTATCAAACGGAGAACCAATCAGCTGGTAAATATCAGTTGGAAAGCTATGTAGCGAACAGTTTTAAATGCACTGTATATTTGACACCAAATAAACACAACGCAAACTGCTGTGACAAAGATAAAACAGCAAAAATGACAAAAAGACAAAAATAGCAAAATCAATGTGCACAAACAAAAACAATTGTACAACAACAATATATTATATGAAACAAAATACTCGGCACATGCAATTAAAAATATCAGTTTATATTAGTCAAATTTACAGGAAATTTAGATATTTTACTTATCTTTAAGTTGTGCACCAGAAGTTTGTTAACACTTTTTTTAATTTTTTACTTTATTAAGTGTAAACAGCTTTATAAAACACAAAACTTAAGCAGATCACAAAAAACACAGCTTCACAGCTTTAACGTTTGCGTAGCGTAGCTTTGAATCAAGACCCCTGGACCATATAGGGAATTCATTTATATTTTAAATTTCATTATCATCGTGATTGGAACTATGCTGAAAATTTCAAGTCTCTAACTTGTCGGGAAGTTAGTTTAAAATCGATTGGAAATTTCCGCGATTTCCGCGGGATGACCAAGTTAAATAAAAGCTTGTAAAAATAAAAGTATACCACTCAGTTGTTTTTCCCAAATGCTTCATTTAAAAAAAAAGAGTTACTAAAATCGGTTGAGTACTTTGGGAGCCAAAGCTGAACAATTTCCCATATAATCAATTTTATTTGGTAGTATAGGTTATGTACATACATACGTGGTTAGACTTACCTGTCTAATGAGATAGCAACCAATGTAAAAACCGATGTCGATACAGTAACGTTTGCCATGAAATTGTTTATGGTACAATAAATTGAACCGAATGGCCAGTCGGAGTTCAGCATAAAAATGAAATTAAAAACACAATTCAGCGAGGACATTAGCAAATCGGCGATGCTCAAATTAAGCAAGAAATAATTGGTAACGGTTCGCATGCTGCGATGACCTTTGGTGATTCCCATTCCAGTAGTCAGATATAAAAATACAAGAAAAGATGGCATAATTAGTATATACATATCGTCACTAGACACGAATAAAGGCGCGAACTCAAAAGTTGACCGCGAAAAAAGGGGCATAAAAAGCTCGGCGAAGAAAGACTCTTAACACAGTTGACGGCGAAGAAGGACGCGTAAACTTATTTTCGCGGTCAACTATGTTTGCGGATATAGCAATATGTAAATTACCCAAAGAGAATTTGAGAATGATGCTGAAGTGATAGTATTTGGCCAAGTATAAATCTATGATTACTCCTCATTCTTCGCCGTCAACTATGTTACGCGTCTTTCTTCGCCGAAGTTTTTCTTAAACGTCTTTTTACGCCGTCGAAACACTAGCGCGCCTTTAGTTATTCGTATCTAGTAGAGCTGTCAAACTATCGATAGTCAAGTCCATCGATGTTTTACGATAGTCTTAAGGGTGACTATCGATAGTATCGACCCATTCCATCTAGCTATTATAAATTTGTTTATTTTAAAGGCTCACGGTTGCATTTTAGTATCGAGAAATATTGATAGAAATTCATTCGCCGTGTAAACAGTCAAAAAGCGATTTCAGAAATTTTCCCTGCAATTCGAAAAATACTTTACATGCAAAGTGCCGCTGCTCATGCAACTGCATTCTGAAATTTCTCAATTTGACAGTCTTTTGAAATATACTGTGTTGCCACGACTGGCACGCTCTTAAGACGGCAATGTAACTAGGGACACGAATTTCGATACGATACCATATCGATACTTTTGGCATTCGATGCCGATATTTTCTACTCGATAGTTTTAAAACGATATTTTTTGGAATCGAGTACCAGAACCCTAGTATCGTATCGAATGTCATAAACTCACATTACAAGGATAATGTTATTAACAATTCTTCCCGATATAAATTGGGCTTTAAAGAGCAGAAATTTGTAATATAGTTAGGATTACATGTGGTGGAATTTGACCACGCGACCTCGGTGTTTTAAGTCAACACATCAATCTCTACGTGCGGTTACACAATATGTTAGTGTTTGACCGAGATTCTCCTCCTATTTGTCGCGCACGCCTTAATGTTGTGGCACAAAAGGGGCCCCTACAGTTTGCGCACTGCTAACCATTACACCACAGCGGCCTATATACCAGACCTATATTTAGATAAAGTTTTTGGATTTTGGTATCGATATTTGGAATATCGAGTCTTTTATTCCGATATTAATGGGTACCCGATATTTTTGAAGCGATACTTTAAATGAGTACCTTATCGATACTTTCTGTTCGATATCGTGTCCCTAAATGTAACCTCTGCTATTTCCACGCTTAAAATATAAAATGATGCTTTTAGAAATAATGCCACGAACCAACTAAACAGATCACCCAGCACGGCACCCGTGTATTTGTAATTGCATTTGAGAAAAAAATAACACTGGTCTACAAGGGTTTTGCGAATAAGACGGGACCTGGTGTTTCCGAACGGATTTTTCGTGCTGAACACGAATCTGGGGTCCAAAACTTCCCATCACGTCACGTTTTCGAGAAAAAAGGGGTTGAAACCCCTAAAAACAGCGTTTTTGGCCATTTTTGAAAAATTGTAGAGCTGAACCCTGACGTGCTACAAACTTTGTATATGTCAGAAATTAAAGGCTAAATCGTGCCCTTTCGAATGAGCCCTATGCCGAATTAATCGCATGCACCCTTAGATCAGGGGGTGTATTTTCGGATTCGTGTTCAGCACGAAAAATCCGTTCAGAAACACCAGGTCCCGTCTTATTCGCAGAAAAAAAGTTGAAATTTGTAGACCAGTGTAATAGTTGATAACGTCATTTTTTAATCGGTTGTTTCATTCACACTCACGGTTTAATTCCGTTTCATTCACATAGCGGCGAAAAAATGACGTCACTGTAAAAAAAATACTTTTTTCTCGTACTCCGTCCTGGGTGATCTTTATTCGTTCGTTCAGGAAATAATGCTGCCAAGTTTTGTTCTCTTTGTACCAATACGTGCAAATGTCAAAAGCCAGGAAAGAGAAAACGCTATCAATGAATCGATAGTGGCGATAGTACTAAAACTATCGATAGTTATTTCATGTGACCAGAGTATCGATACTATCGATAGTATCGTCGATAGTTTGACAGGTCTAGTGTCTAGTGACGATATCTACATAAGTATTATGACGCATAGTGATGGAAATTAATGAATGTTTAAAAATTTTACAAAGAAGCTGAACTAACATCCGAGTCAGTAAAAATCAGTTGCATACGCTCAAACCAATTAGTGAAGCATTTTCTGGCGATGAAAATCGTTGCCCACGCAGTTTTTTCCTCCATGAACGGGATGCCTGTGAAGCAGTGATCGGACTTCTACCACATTGTGGTAGATCTGCCACTTTTTTGATCATCTACCACATCTACCACACAAGGTCTGAAATCTACCACATATTCGCGTTTTTGAGTAGTTTTATTTTTGCTCGATATAGTTTTCTTAATTTTAAGAGCAAAAATTGTCCAACACTAAACACTAATAACAGGCAGAATGGGAGGATAAAAGAAACATTAAAATAGTAAATTTTCTCAATATTCAATTTTTCGACAGGAAACATGGTTTTATTGTGTTAATTTGCAAAATATATGATTTATAAAAAAGAATTAATAGCGAAAATGAAAAAACGCCGACTTTTGTGAAAGTATTGGAAAATTTCCGTGTATCTAAAGTTTCTAAAGCATTGTTTACTTTACTTGAGAATCAAGTAGTGGTTTCTGGAACGTGCCACATTTGTCCGCTACATCGTGATGTGATAAAAAGAAAAGCGGACACTGTCAAGGAAAAAAATTGCCAAATCTCAACGGAATTTTTAGCAACTTCAATCTTGAATTAAAATGTTTGCAATTTAGGGGAAACCTTGCAGAATATTTTTAATTTTTGTACAAAGTTTGATCCAAAACCTGAGATCTACCACATTTTTTTGAAATCTAACACATTTTTTTCCAGATTCTTCCACACAAATTTTTTTTTCTAGTCCGATCACTGCTGTAAAGTTGGCATACAGTATGACTAAAGCACTGTTTATACTTACATTGAAGTGCAGAGCATATACAAGCAGCACATGTTTATTATTAATATGCCTTAATGTATGTATCCGAACGAACTCTCAGTAAATCTGATGGATACTGGAACAGACTAAAAGCCTGATTATGCCAACTTTGCGCTACTTAGAACTTAGAAAATCAACCAATCCAGAACAGAGAATTTGACGTCTTGTGTACTGGTCAGCCAACGTATTGGCCTTCTGACCCTCAAAAAATACCCGATCTTATTGACTTTGGAGTAACAAAGGGTATTGCGCGACACCAAGTTAATAATGCTTGATCTCTCTTCCTGTCGCATAACATTATCAATGTTTATTAATTATGAACATAAACAAAAAAATCTTACAAATACGCAGGATTCCTTCAGTTTATCTTGAAACCAATCCCCTGAAATTAATTGATAAAGTAATCAATTTGGGGTTTGTTATCAATTCTAGCCTTAGCTGCGTTGATTACGTTAATTCTGTTGTGAACAAAGTATATGGTATTCTAAGAAATCTAAGATAATCAGCATCGTTTGTTCCGATTCCAACTAGAAGAAAGCTTTCGCGTCAATTAATTTTACCCATTATTATTTATGCCGAGGTGGTATATAGTAGGCTTGATTCCAAGTCATCACATAAGATTGACACCGTATTTAATCAAATTAGACGTTACGTATATGGATTGCGGAAGTTTGACCATAAATCTGCGTGGAGATGTAGCTTGTTGGGATGAGATATCACTGATTATCTAAAAGCAAGAAACTGCGTCTTTTTATAAGCACAAAGACCCTACCTTACCTTTATGAGAAATTAATTTTTCCAAAGTCTGAGCGTTCCTGTGATCTAATGGTGCCTTTATTTAACTTTAAGAATTTTACTAGACTATTTTTCATCAATGCTATACGAATCGGGAATTCAATTCCCGCTGCAATAAGAAGCAAGATCAATAAAAGCAACTTCAAAAATATTTTATATAGCTACTTTTCTAACAATTGATGAACCATCTAATATTTAAAGTTAATCTCTTTTAACCTATGAATATGTGATTTAATTAATTATATGTATTAATGTATATTTTTGTATTGAATTTATTTGTTGTACTATCGGCCGCCACCAGGGTTCAAACTCTGGTCAAAGCAACATCGCAAAAATATAGAAAAAAGGTTTTTTTCTTAATAGCGGTCGTCCCTCGACAGGCAATGGCAAACCTCCGAGTGTATTTCTGCCATGGAAAACAGCTTCTCATAAAAATACAATCGCCGTTCGGAGTCGGCGTAAAACTGTAGGTCCCTCCGCTTTGTGTGACAACATGAAGGCACACGCCACAAATCGGAGGAGAAGCTCGACCAAACACTAACATATGTGTAAGCGCCAATCTATTATATTATTATTATATAAGATCTCGGTCTTACTGTACGAATATTTACTATTGAAGTAAATTGAAAATTGGATTGAATTGGAAACTAGTTAAAATACTAAAAGTACGTCAGTTCGCAAATTGACCCTTATCTTAATCGGGCCAAGAATGATATCGACAGGGCAGCTAAAAATCTTACTGATAAAATAGTTAATGCCGCAGAAATTGCAACACCAACTCCATCTATTAAACATCGCAGTTCTTACTTCCCTGGCCTGCGCACCCCAAATATTCTTAACTTAATAAGTAAAAAGCGCAAATTAAGAAGGGAATGTCTCTTAAACTTAAACAGGAGCTGAATGCGTGTACACAGGAATTACGTATTTTGTTACGGGCGGAAAAATAAAGAAGTACGCAGTCGATCCTTCAGTTCTTGTCTTATTCGAAACAGACTGACTACTCCCTTTTACGAACACTGACTGAACGTTCTTCGAGAAGTACCATTATGTACTGAGAGCGGAAGCTGGGCGAGGAATAATGAGGATAAAGTAGCTTTCGCCTATC